ACACACACACACACACACACACACACACACACACACACACACACACAACCTCAGTATCGTGCAGCTGCTAAGAGGCATGTTAAGACACGCTATCTGTACACAGAATTCCAGGACAGGCCTCGACTTTAATGGTCACAATCAAGACCTAAATTTCTGTGGATAAATGAGTTGTGCCCGGTTTCACACTCCTGGTTGCCGCAGTTGTTAAGCGAACCGCTGCAATTGTTCAGTGGGTCCGTGAAGGGAATCCGGCTTTCCCCATTGATTTTGCTGATAGAAAGCCAGCTGGGAAGGTCACAAATGGTGAGGCTGTGGGGACAGCGCAACTGCCATAAATACATGCCGGTTGCCAAGTGCCTGGATTTTGATCACATCGCCATGGGGATGCTGCAACTTCAGGGTGAAAAATGGTCACAGGTCATCCTTTTCAGAGGCTGTTCCAACTTCAAACCGCCACTAAACAAATAGTTGTGAGTCAGGGACTACTTGTAAGCACCAGTACCATGGACAGCTACTGTCCATCTAGGATTTCGGTGAATCTATAGGACTTCCTCCCTAAAATAAATGGTTTGGATAAAGATGGTTTGCTGAACCAAACCAAGAAAAATTAAAAGCAGGGAAAGCAACAGACCTTTTTCTAACCCAGAGGTCTCCAAACACGGCAACTTTAAGACTTGTGGACTTCAACTCCCAGAATACTCCAGCCAGCTGGGAGTTGAAGTGCACAAGTCTTAAAGTTGCCAAGTTTGGGGACCCCTGCTCTAACCCATCCAAGGGAAAATCTCCTATTTTTTTGTATTATTTCTGCTTCCATGACATCAGATGGAGCCCAGACACCCAGTAGTTCAAAAATTGTCACTGAGATTTGTAATGGTTTTTCCCCTCCTTTGAACAAAGGAGTCCCTTGTGTTACATCAGACTTCCTTTGACACGCAGAGTTTCAAAAGCTATTTGTAACACAACACGGAGAAAAAGAGAACTAGTCTGGACTTACTAACTGCATCATCAGCAAAGTGGTTCTTTGGACTGTGAACTCATTGTGAGTGCTAGGTTTCCAAGAACAATGACTTGAGTAGTTTAAATAAGGCACTAAACTGGCAAAATGGCATTTATATCCATCTTGAGATAAAGGCAACTTTTTGAAAGTATTGGCAAAATTACCGGTGTGGATTTATGCATCTGATCCCATTCCCAAATGTGTTTTCTTTAAGTTCTCCAGCTGCTGAATTCTATTTACAAAAAACCTCAGAAGAACACAAGACTACTTTAATTCCATCTTTACCCCCTTATTTGCTCATCAAAGCTGAAACTTCCACACATAACAATCCTGGTCATTTATGTGATAAACATTTAAAGGCCAATCTAGGCATTATGGCAGACATAGAAGGACTGCTTAAAATGATCTCCTGTCATATCCTCTCCACCAGTCGTAGGAAATCCATGTTGGGCTAGTAAGCGGAGGACAATTGTGCTCCTCATTGGGAAGGGAATATCTTGCTGGCAATAATTTCATGAGAGATGCAGCTCTGACGGGTTTGTGAATCACTGTACGGTCACAATAACATTTCCACATTTTAATTCTCTTCCACTGGAGAATAAAAGTCATTAAAAAGCCAGAAGGGTTAAAGCGTTGTCTTGTGAACTCATTGGACACGTTGGGAAACACTGGAACTTGTGTTTCATATGAAATGATGGGAAATGTTGAAACATGTGACTCATAGGAAATACAAAATTATCGGGACAAGATAAAGTGCAAGAGAGTTCCTGGATTAAAAAAAAGGTAGGCAGTTTAAAGGTAGACAATAAGAATGCCTGATAAAAGCTAAATATCCTGACACTGTGGAATACATAGATGCTTGGCTCCAGACAGCTTTCTTTTAATCACTCCCCTAGAAAAAAATCTTATGCTTCTTCCTACTTGGCAGTAATTCGATGACACCTCTTACTGCCAACCCTTGGGTATGCGTGGCTGTAGTCCAATGAGCCCTTAGAAAGCGACAGGAAGAGACTGGCACTAAAAGGACCCACGGATGCTCAAATACAAGACATTAAAAAAAAAGAATATATTTCTGACGGCAAAATGAGGGCCAGAAGTGACTTCTAATGTATAGCACACTTAGGTCTTCAGAATGTAATCCCAACTTTGCATTCTTTCTCCACGTCACAGATGGATTTCAAATTAATCGTACTTTTTAACACAGTATTGCTAAGTTCCAGTATATTTACAACATTTAGTATTTCCAAGAGTGAGAAAAGGGGTCATTGGTACTGGGCACCACCTAATCTCAAGATCAGGAGAATATTCAATGGTCGTTATGGCGTACGTATCATAAATCAACTTAGCAGCTCAACACCAACATGAATTGGAAGAAGCATGGATTAAGAGTTACGCTGCATCCAGGATAAACATAACTTTCCTGTCTTAGAAATTATGGCGTGCATTTTAAAAACAGGAACTCCACTTTGTGAATGATTTGCTTATAATTATAGAAGGGCCAGGAGGCCATCCTCCACGGAGGTTTCTCACCTCTATGCTTAGAATGATAGTACTGATCTCCATGGACAACTAAGGGGTCAAAAACAGCGCCTCTCTCCGGAATTGGCGTCTTATCCAAAAGGAATGGAGCAAAGAAGAGTTAAAGAAATCTCTACCCCAGACCTAAGAATATTCTGAAGAGTCAAGTAAATACCGCCAAGGCCAATGTCCATGGAGATTCTCAGTCATCCAGGTCAGGGTTGCCCCAAAGGTGCTTTTTCAAGAGGCAACTGGACAAAGAAAGTCCAGTTGCCTCTTGAAAAAGCACCTTTAATGCAAAAGCCGATGGGAAATTTGGTATGGCCCAACAGCTATCAAAATATGAATTAAGGTATGCCAATTCTGGTACAGGAAATAACGACAGGATATCATGTCAAGCATTAACAGGCCTTTGCATTAATTGATCCGACAGGCAAGTGTATCCTGAGCCACTAGATGGCGCCCTGGCCTGAGAAACCAATTCTACATGTGGTGTGCTTGGTACAGGAGTAGAGATAAATCGAAAGTAGAATAATGCATGCTCAAGTGAATGTAAAAATTAAGCTGCAGGGATACCTCTAGTCTAGAATCATCACTGGCTGGAGTAAAACTTATCTTTAGGCTCATAACACTCATAAAATTCAGCGGCATTTAACTGCCCAACATGATAAAACCTCTTGAGTATCAAGACTGAAGAAATGCTAAACTTTAAACTGCCGGATAATTATTGTTAAAGACATGTGCATTTGTTCTGAGAAAGTTACATTGTTAACCAGGATCTGCCAGAGGGTATAAGGAGTTGGTTGCTGATAAAAAGGCACTTTTTAGCTGTCTTGGCCACAATTCCAACCTGGAAAAAAAAACGACTGAAAAAGATCAGGAGGACTAGCTCAACTAAATAGGAATTGGGCTGATGTAGAGAATTAAAAACATCTCTGGGTGGTTATTTTCAAAGCTAGGATCAATGACTGGGAAACTCCAGACGGTCTTTTGACCAGCTTTCGCTTCCCACGGGAGTCTTCCTATCCCGCAGAATGAGGTAGCAGACTTCACTGGACCCCTCCACCATGCATGCAGGGGGGGGGGCACTTTGAATCCATTCCCACGTTCGGCTAATCTTCTCTTTGCTAATAAAGGTTTAGTGCCTCTGAAGGTTCCTTCCTAATCTGTGCAGGGAGATGCATTTTTCTATATGGAGCCCTTAAAACCTGACTCTCCAAGCTGTTTGAAATTAAAGGATTAATGCCATCGTCAAAATTCCAACACTTCCTTTGGCTGTATATCAGGCTTAAACAAGGATAGAAGAATTCAACTCTCCTTCAAGTTGGTGAATGATTTTGAAGATGCATTTTGGTAATGTGCAAATCTTGTTATAATCATTTGCATTGCTTCACCTGACTTTTTAAAAAAACATGGCTGCGGCAGGATTATTGCTCTTGGTTTTGGACTCTGTTTGCAACTGCCCAAATTTTTTTTAACTGGGTTAATCCTTTGGGGGTCTCTGCAGTGTAGAATATTTGTGGATCTCATTAAACTACATAAGTTAACAATTCTAAGTTGTTTTCTCTGCACATTCTATAGGCAGACATAACAAACTTCAACCACAACCTTTGATGAGACCTTTCTACTGCTCATTCTGTCATTGTAATAGGACAATCTATAGCAGGGTGTGATGTTGGAAGACAAACTCATTAAGGTTCTTGCAGTCTCTGGGAATGTGGAATGCTGACCCACATCCTACAATTTTGGCAGACTTGGAATGATAACTGGGATTATAATTCATCCCAACATTAAGTGGAAAAACCAAAAAAACAAACAAACTGAAGATCAAAGCAATGCCACAAAAGAGTAAGAGGCAAGAAGAACAAAGCTCATTCCAAGCCATTTCCAGTTAAATGTTGGCCCAGATCTAGAGAACATCCCCCTCTTCACACACACACACACACATTAAATGTTACCAGAAAAAAATGTTTAGCACAGTCCAAGAGGTCATGCTGGTAAAGAAAATTGACTGTCCCTTTCTGCACTCCTGGAAGTGCCTCGAGCTCCAGGTGATTCCAAATCTTAAGCAAGTGAAACCTAGTGTGTACTTCTGTACGTATCTAATGATTATTAATTTAATCAAGCTTATTTCCAGGTAAGTGGGCAGAGGTTTGCCTTCTAAATCTCTCAACCATCAGACACTGTGCCAACAACAATTGACTTTCGTCATTAAATAAGCAGTGGTAGCCAGGATTTTAAACTGAGGAAGCATTTTCTCTTCCGTGTGTTTCCAGTATTTCAGACCATCAGCTCAGGACTTGATCCAGGGAGGACCCCAAAAGGACTTTCCTCGTTTCCCAACCACGGCAGAGATACTGTACTGACCCTGCCCAGGTAGGGCATTTCCCCAAAGGCATCCATGTCCCCAAATCTCCATTTCTTTCAAAAGAGAAAGACAGACACAGAGACTGAACTTTCAGAGAAGAAATAAGGCAGCTGTGCCCTTAATGGGCACTCTGCACCACGCGCCCCAGGGACAGGAAAAAAGGAAGTGAGATCGTCTCTTGTTGAGCCGTCAGCCATTGTACTGTTGCTGATACCGCAAGTTCAGTTCTCGCAGTTCCCTCTCCCGCACGCGGCGGGACTTGTTGGATTTGGTGGAACGGCTGGAACGGGTAGACTGGGCTGATTTGGTGCTTTGGCAACGAGACGACGCCCTCTTGAGGAGGTTCTGAGAGATGGAGCGGTGCAGGTTCTTCATGGAAGAAGAGGCCGCCATGCTTACCACCCAGGGATGCTTCAAGGCTTGAAGTGCTGTCATCCGGTCGCCAGGATCCACAGTGAGCAGGTGGTCAATGAAATCTTTAGCGAGGTTGGACACACTGGGCCAGGGCTGAAAATGAAGGAGAAACAAAGGGATGGGGGGAAAACATTAATTGTGGTTTGAATGCAGCATTGCAGACTGATTCTGCCCACCGCCAACAGTTCGATCCTGACTGGCTCAAGCTTGACTCAGCCGGAATTCCATCTTTCCGAGGTCAGTAAAATGAGGACCCAGATTATTGGGGGCAATATGCTGACATTGTAAACAGCCTAAAGCAATATGGGTCAGTATATAAATCTAATTGCTACTGCTATTAAAGTTGGCAATAAGCAAACCAATTTGTTTGTCTTTAAATGTGGCATTTTCTCCTTTGCACTTGCAAGCACCACATCATTTGCTCTATCTAAGAATTCCTTTGTCTATAGACTTCCAACTATGACTTACATTGGATTTTCCCTACCCAAATAATTCCCAGGTACAACCATTGCAAACTGTAGCTCCAAAAGTGGAGTAAAACATCAGTTGGGACTGGGAATGGGATTCTGGTTACACTGTAGTATCAATGGATATTCAATAACACCTGAATTAGAGGATTAGACAGATTTTTTTTAAATATCTACCGTTGTCTGTCAGTGCTCCTTCCAGACAGAATTCACTAGCTAATTAGATGCAAATACAATTTATACTACTGGAGCTGAAAACTAGTTTGGTTTATTTATAGCACAAATTTTCTTCCAGCACCAGCAACGCCAAGAGGAAAAGGAGTACAAATCACCACCAGGCTACTGCAAATTCACATTTGCACAGACAGAACCCATGTAGAATCACAACTCTTATTTATCACTTGATTTACTATAACGGGTATCACAGTAATAATGTATTATGGGCATTATAATAATATCCAAAATAAGGATTTGTTTCATCTTCAATAATTGGTATTGCCTTCTATCTACAATAGAATTCCCTCTTCAGTAGTAATAAACAGTTATGCCTCTCTTCTTGATCTAGATTTTGAACCTAAATAGAACAACAAAAAAGGAACATGTTTATAGTAAGAAATAGGTGTTAGGTGAGCTCACATACTGCTAAAATGTTAAATTTAAAAATGCTAATTATCACCATCAAATAATCAATGTTAATGTTTCAATGTTATTTTAACAATTTAACCAACCAGTATTATTTTAACCAAAATGTGAAGCAATTCCTTAATAGGGAAGTGGGACAGGCAGCAATAAATTATCGCCTCCAATCTGACAAGCGAGTCAGCATTACCAGCTCGGTTAAGGGGTGCTAAACAGGAACAAATTCTTAAACAACAAGGAATTGGATTTCTTATCCTTTCAATTACTCTGCCACCCTCAGAAATGGTAAGCAGAGAGCACCAGTAATTAGAAATCTCTTCTAGTCAGCAAACACAAATTGGTTTATTGATCTGTTTATCTTTCTGGAAGCTTCACCTGCTGTACAGTATGTATCTTTGGCTTGATTTAATTAAGCTACCTTTCTGAAGGAAAGGAAAAAAAAAACCTATTAAGGTTAGAAGTGAAAGGAGCTTACTGGCTTCTTTGCCTACCGCCCATTAAAATGATAACTTTCATTTTCTATGATGAAATGAGAGGAACATGGCAAGCTGGCCGCAGAATCTCAATCTCATGAGTTTCATATTACTTCTTTGTGTTATTTTTTTTTTTTTTTAGCATTTGCTCAAGAAGAGTAACATTGCGTGCAATGTTAAAACCTGCATTTGAACTCAATTCTTGAATGTCACTTAAATGTGAAGCATGGAAAAAAGAAGACGATTGGTATGCAACAAGTTCATGGACAGGAAAGTGGGTGGGCTCATCTACCCCAATACTAATGATGCTTGGATAATCTAAAGCATAGAATTCAAAAATGTGCGAGGTATTGACATTCGTTTAGCCATCATTAAGGCTCTTTCACGGTCCGTTTTGGCTGGCAAAGTGTTGCAAGAGGCCGTCCAGACTGAAAACGGGCCATGCAGGGGCCATGGGTAGTCCCCCGTGCCCCGTTTCAGCTGCTAGGGGTACCATGGGCCAGTCCTTTGCTGTTTCCAGGCCAGCCCTGCAGGCCAGATTTAAGCACCCTGTAAACTGGATCTAGCCTGTGGGCCTTGAGTTTGACACCCCTGGCCTAGATCATACCACATGCCAAGACAATGGTTTTGGCTCCAAAAGCAGAACCACAGGTTATTCAGGGCCCATTTATCCTTGCCTAGCTAGGTGTAGTATGGCGCCTGGTAGTCAACCATGCAAAGGGTCACATCCGTTTTAGTCTGGAGCAGGTAAACCCGCAGGAAAAGAAATGTGCTACAGTGTTTGTATATTTGAGATACCTTAAAATTCCAATCAGCTGGAATTTCCATTCCAACCCCCAAAATTGACTTCTTTCTCCCTCTTTGTTGTTCCAAGCTCAACCAATAGAACAAGTAGGCAGCAACAGAGAACGAGCTGAATGGGACTCTGCAGGTAACTGCAGCAATAGACAAAATCCATAGCTGTTGCTGTAAACATCCAGAGCCTCATTAATGGGCTTTTGTGTGGAGATACTGCTCCAATAGCAAACCCAAGCACCAAGGACAGAAGAGGCTTGAAATTATTTTTCCTGGTGATTTATACCGTGTTGATCATTGTTTCTGATATTCATGCTTTGGTCAAAGCTTCATAGTGATTTCCTGAAGGGCTCTTTCCAGTCTTTTAAAAACAATGTCATGTATTCATTCGGTTATTCAAAATCACAAGCATGATATGCTGGAAATTGTAACCTCCATAACATCCCTAAATCCTTGGTTAATTCATTTCTATTTTACTCTTCCGCCTTTTTTCTGATTTCTTTTATATTATCTTTAAAATGCAAGGTTTTTGCCAATGGGTCTGAGGAACCCAGAATGGGATGAATGCCATCAGGTGGCTTCTCTGAGGGGTATGTGTGTGTGTGTATGCGTGTGTGTGTGTGTGTGTGAGAGAGAGAGAGAGAGACAGACAGACAGACAGACAGACAGAGTGGGGTTATTGTTTTTATTGTTGTATGTTGGGTTTTTATTTTTTGTAAGCAGACAAGAATCACTGTGAGTGAGTGGGCGACAAAACACAAATTTTCTAAAACAAAAAATAATAGTTAATTGTTTTGTTTCTCCTTGCCCTTTTAGTAGGAGGGGGGGAAAGTTCCATCACACCTATCAGAACTTTCTTTCAAGGTTTCAAAGATGTGGAAAATTAAAACTTCGGAGCAAGGTTTAAGGTTGGTTGAATACGGAAATCAGGAAGGATTTGCTTCTTTTGTGAACATCCCGGTTAGCTTTAACTCCTGCCCAGTCCTTCTCTGTCAACCTGATCCACTTCACATGATTGCTGTATGTGGGTAAAACTAGGAGGGCATGCATGCTGCCGTGGCTTTCTCACAACGGATAAGATATCCATGGGACCAGTGCTGCATATGTTTACAGTATCATAGGAAACAGAGTAAAGCTTCAAGAAATTGCTGCTTTATTTCAGTCTGAGTGGCTGGATATTTCAAGGAGTTGCAAGCATAGAATCAGGCTCTGAGGAAGCAGAGACTTAAATATATTGAGCTGACTGAAACAAGCAATATTCTTGTTCTGCACACCAGAGAAAAGAAATAAGTACTACTAAGTAACAGATTGCCCGTGAAATGGCTGTTGTCAGCAAAAGACTTAGCAAGCTAAACAGTGAGAAATTGGGTGATGCACTGCCCAGAGCATTTTGAAGCCATAGCAGATATTTACAGGGGCTTCACAGGCACTATCTTCTAATCTAATGAGTCTTGTATCCATTTTGTCCGGCTCACATTTAACAATGCATATATTTGGCAATAAATAAATGACCGTGCTGTAGAGTAGCCATATTATACATCCAAAATTGCCATGACCATGTTAAGAAATAATCTATAGTACAACTCACTTGGCAGCATCATCCAGAATGGGTTTTTTTTTTGTTAAATATTTGCCACCCTTATTGAACTGTGAATGTTTTAACAGCCAAACAAACCAAAATGAGTGTTTCACTTCTCCAACTGTATGTATTTAAAGGTGGGGGGAAGGGTATTTATTTAAGAAAATTTATACCGCCACCCAACTCACCCTCTGTAAATTCCATTAAAAATCTCATAAAAAACAATAAAGAGACATAACCCTCCTACCCCAACCCGATGACAACAATCAGTCAAACAAGCCACTTGAGGGGCTCCATCCCACTCTGGATTCCCCAGGCAAAACCAGGTCTTCCAGTCCTTGTGAAAGAGGGCCAAAGTTGGAGTCAATCTTATTTCTTTGGGGATGATGTTCCACAGGGAGGGAGCTACCACAGAGAAGGCTCTTCTTCTTGGTCTCACTAGAAGTATTTCCTTAGCGGAGGGGACGCAGGGCATTCCTTGACATTTCTACAACTAAATACATTTGTTTTTAAGACCCAATGCATCTAGCTGTTTCATTTTCTTGGTAACAAACTTTTGACAGAGCTACAGTAATCATCCATTTCCTACACAATGGAAGAACGTGCAGACATTTTCAACCTGGAATGTTTTCAAAATTCCTTTTCTCTTTTCCTGGAACTGAGAAGATAATAACTTGGATCAGTAAATAGAATTTTCCAGAGGCGAGTTTAAGTTGTAATGAGGTAGCTTTCAAATAGTTAGGTCCACCAAGCCAGACGAGGAGCTAGCTGCAAAATTAAAATACAGGTTGCAATTACATGTCTTCCCGTCTAAATCATGCTTGCCAAGTTATCCAACCCCAAAGGGGGTAAAGGAGATAATTTATAGGGAACTTCTTCGTTTGAGCTTTGGACACCCAGGTTAGAAGCTGGACGGCTTAAGAATTAAGCCGCTCTAGCAGAAAAAAAAAATTCAGCTTCTTTTTTCTAGCTACATTTGCTCCCCCCACCACCCCATTTCAGCCAGTCAGACATGGCAAAAGTGAATTAGCTGTAACCAATGTACAGACACTGGGCCCAGTTTACCATAAGTGGTTTATCCATGGCTAATGCCTAATTTGGGTTCTTTTATTGTAAAAACAGAATTTATCGCACTATGAA